TAATAATAATACTGATAATAATAATAATATTGATAATAATAATTAATAGTATTATTACTAATAATAATGATGATAATAATATTGATAATAATAATAATAGAGTTAGAAATTCAGTATATTTACATTTGTATTTATTTCTTATAGGTGTATTCATTTTATCAAACTTTTTTCATAGAGACATATTATATTGTAGATAATATAAAGTAAATCATTTCAGTTAATTACATTTAGTTTCTATAAATCTGTTATAAAACGCTCTGCATTTGCATCTCTGGTGTAAGTGTGGAGTCTGAGGCGTTAAAGCTATTATTATTCTTTCATTCAGTGGCTCCTTTCATTCTCTCTCTCTCTCTCTCTCTCTCTCTCTCTCTCTCTCTCTCTCTCTCTCTCTCTCTCTCTCTCTCTCTCTTTCCTGCAGTGTGTTTTATTGCAGTCTTGCTGGGCGTGGATCATGTGAGCAGCCAATCACAGGTCAGCAGGAGGGCGGGGCTCTGGTCTCATCATCACAATAAAAAGCAGAAGGTCAGCAGTTCCTCATTCACACTTCACAATAAACTGATCCAGGATTCAATAAACTCCAAACAGGTCAAACGACAGATGCTGCTGGGTTTCCTGCACAATTCAGCAGCACATTTGAATGCTTATCTAAATGAAGACCGTGACTGAGAATCACATTATTATTCTTTATTGTATAAAAATGCAATTATTAAATGTATTTAATTTGTTTCAATATGGCTAATATATTGAGAAAAATATATACCAGAAAAGAAGTACAACAAATTATCCTAAAATAATTCCTTGATAATCGTTTTCCATTTTTTAATTAGATAAAAATGTTTATTTAATTTAATCAAATATTTTATTTTATTGTTTTTGAGTTTTTTTTTCTTCCCCCCAGGACCATTTTCTACTTTATTTTAAAAATATTGTGTTTTATTTTGTTTTTTATTTCCTTTTAAGAATATTTAATTTATATGCAGTATCATTGGAAATGGGCAACATGGTGGCTCAGTGGTTAGTACTGTTGCCTCACAGCAGGAAAGTAGCTGATTCTCCCCATGTTGGCGTGGGTTTCCTCCTGGTGCTCCGGTTTCCCCCACAGTCCAAATACATGCGCTATAAGGAAATTGAATAAACTAAATTGGCCGTAGTGTACAGTATGTGTGTGAATGAGTGAGTGTGTATGGATGTTTCCCAGTACAGGGTTGTGGCTGGAAAGGCATCCACTGTGTTCAACATGTGCTAGAATAGTTGGTGGTTCATTCCACTGTGGCAACCCCTGATGAATATAAAAGGAATACGCTAAAGGAAAATGAATGAATGAATCATTGGAAATAAATAGTAAAATATTGGAAAATATTTAACTGAATCATTTTTTTCCTGGATCATTTTTCGCTTCAATCAGTAAAAATTTACATATTTTTATTTTATTTTTCAATAATATTGAAAAATATTAAATTAACAAAGTTTTTAAAATCTTTAACCTCACTGAAAAATATGTGTAACTGACGATCCTGTATTTTTTTCATGTACCATTTTTTACTTTACTTTAAACAATTAATTTATTCATTTATTTTCTTTTCGGCTTAGTCACTTTATTCATCAGGGGTCGCCACAGCGGAATGAACAGCCAACTTATCCAGCATGTGTTTTACGCAGCGGATGCCCTTCAGGCTGCAACCCAATCACTGGGAAACATCCATGCACACTCATTCACACACTACGCACTATGGTCAATTTACGGTCAATATGCTTGCTGGTTCGAGCTCTGGCTGGGTCAGTTGGCATTTCTGTGTGGAGTTTGCATGTTCTCCCCGTGTTGGCGTGGGTTTCCACCGGGTGCTCCGGTTTCCCCTTACAGTCCAATGACATGCGGTATTAATTGAATTGGGTAAGCTAAATAAACCGTAGCATATGTGTGTTAATGAGAGTGTATAGGTGTTTCCCAGTGATGGGTTGCAGCTGGAAGGGCTGTGTAAAGCATACAATATGACGGATTAGTTGGTGGTTCATTCCGCTGTGGTGACCCCAGATTAATAAAGGGACTAAGCTGAAAAGAAAATGAATGAATGAAAAACTACAATTTTCATGCCATAAATACAGACAAACATTATTATTTCTTAATTTTCCATCTATCAGAATCCTCGCCTCTGTGTTGAGATGTGATTTTAACTCCTGTTTTTCTTCTTCTTCTCTATCTCCTCGTTTATTTATCTCAGGAAACACCAGCAGACACTGTTTGCTTTCCTTCACGTTTTCATTGGTCCTGCAGACAAATCTGCTTGTGCTGCAGTGAATGAATCTGAATGAAGACGCTGCCGCACCGAGCATTCAATATCTGTGATCAATACATGGATCTGCAGCAGCGGTTCAGCTCAATCAGGCGCTCGTTCTCCTGTGTGCAGCGTTTCATTGAGCCGCCAGTGATTCATGTGAGTCCTCTTATTAGGGAGCACGTCTGCTGTAAAACAAGCTCATTCATTCGAGCACGTTTAAGGAAACCAAACACACGTCCTCTGCTGAAACTGTAAATATGAGCAAACAATGCTGTAAAAAAGCCTTTAGAGTTGTACTTTAATCTTGTGTTTAAAGTATTGACAGAAAAACTCTTTCATCGAGAATAAATAACTGGAGGTTTTATCAGAAAGCGAACATCTTTGTTAAATATACACTCAACCCAAATATTTTTTTTAGGATTTCTTACATTATCTATGTTTGTTTGGTATAGTTTTGAAAATTGTTATAAAATATGATAAGAACTGTGTCCACGTTTATCAGAATAGTGTCAGAACTGAAAAAAAAAAAAAAGTATTAATTTCTGAGACTTGGTAATACTTGCCTGTCGATCTATATCAGTGGGCGGGGAAAACCACACTTCTATCTCACGTTGCGGTCAAAATCACTGAAATTTGGATCTTTTTTTAATGTCAGGAAATTTATATATATATATATATATATATATATATAATATATATATATATATATATATATATATATATATAAAC